TGCTGCCTGGATTTGATGTCTTACTGCATCTATAATGGCGGCTTTTGGCCTTTTGCTGTATGTTTGAGGGTTTTTTTGGAAGTGCTTTGTGACCTATAATGAGCATGGCATGTGTCATGTCCTATAAACCCTTTTTGTCTGTACATCTGTGAAGGTTCTCTGTGAGAAGGTGAGTTCCATGTAACTTATCCAGGTCTTTCCATTCCAATAATGGTACCTGAGAGTCCCACTGGAGCACTTCTGACCAGTGCTGCTCACCAACCCCATCCCTGGAAACTGATGGAGAAAGAAAAGCCAGTGGTTATCTGAGGGGTGGCAGAAAGTTTTGAAGTAACAGTCATATTGCAAAAATGCTTTCACTCCCTGAAGAGTTGTGACGAATAGTAAGAAATTCTGATTCTCAGATTTTTTTAAAAAGCTGTCTTTTGACACTGCATCCTGGAAGCTGTCACTGTGGAGAGGAGGTCTGTGCCCAAAGAAGCACAGTCCTTTAGGTACTGGAAACGTGAAGACGAGATGTACGTAGTGTCTCACGGTGAAGGAGGAAGACTACTTTTGTCGTTTTGTTAATTGTTGAGAACAGTGTATAAAAGGCATTTACACTTGGCAACCTCATTGGAGGGAGTAACTGCAGTTGCAGAACCGTGCAGAAACTTTTGTGGGTCCACCTTGGCTATGTAGTTCATTAACTTCAGTCCTGTGAAACACTGGAGTCTCTGCCTTCGGTTACAAGGACCCTACTTGGGATTGGAGGGTTTTGTTTCTTACAGAGAATTCGCTCCATATGAAATGTAAAAATCTAGCTTTAGGAGTTATAGCTGTTTTATTTTTTAGATTATTAACATTTTTGTCCAGGCAAACCCAGTTTGCAGTGTTATTTGTCAGATAAAGTTCTGGGTGTTGTTAATCTCATTGCTCAAGAGTTTCCAGATTTTCTTTTGGAAAGGGTAAGGAAGAGAGGTCTTTGTGTTACTTTTTGTTCTAGTTTTAGTTTATAATCTTCTGAAGATGGTAGTTCTTAAAAATTCTGCTTTCCTATCAGCCAGTTCTTTAAAAACAACCCCCTCTGTGGTTTCTATTTATTGGTTATGGTGTCACTTCATTGATGAGTGGGGTAATGCATCTTTTCCGTTTGAACTACCTCTGATAGTATATGCCTGGCTACTCTTTTTTTCAAAGCAAAACCATTTTTGTTCTCTCCAAAGTTACTCCCTGAAGTCTGGCTGAGCGTGGGCAGCCTACGGGTTGGTGGCCATGAGGCATGAGCTGCTTCCAGCATTGATGTTTTTGCAGTTGCCTTCATCGCTGGCTGAAGGTGTTCATCCGGTGCTCCTTCAAGGAAGATAAATGTGGGTGGGTGTGAGTGGAAGCTGGACCACTGGTCTGGGGGACAGCGATGAGCAGACTGTCCTCCAGGGGTTGAGTTGGAACTCATAACTTACAAAAAAGTTACTTTTGGAATATACTCAGCTGTGAGGTTTACTGTTTAGGTGCATCTAAACAAGTCAGAGTTTTCTCTCAGTCCAGAGTCCTTTCTGCTGTGCTTCAGATCTCCAGTATTGACACTAGCTCTGTGTAACATGAAGGTGCTTCAGATCTCTCACGTGTTGTGGCTTTTGCTGTTCATCCTGGATGGTGGGACTCCAGGCTTCTTCTGAATTCAGCACTGGAAAGGGAAACGGTTTTCACTTTCTTGTCATTCCTTACCCTGCTTGTGGCTGGAGCCGCTCAGAAGTGTTTGTGGAAAAAAATGCATTTGGTGAATTTGCAGGTTGTGGTGGTGCACGTTGTGGATGTTGTCAGGGCTTGCTAATGAGCAAAGTATGAAAACTTGGTTATGATACTATAAAATGAGGGATAGGACAAGTCTCTCCTGTGAATATAGTCCGTTGATGCAGTTACCTCTGGCACTCAGGAATTCTGAAATCATGTTGTTTTTAAATATAGTATGCATGCAGTAAATTAATAAAGTGATGAGAAATTATTCTTTAATATTAGTGGTGCAATTCAAGTTTTCTAAAGAAACTTTGAGGATTTTCTGTGTGCTGAGCTGACAGTGGAAGACAATGCAGTTCATTACAGACCTGCATAAAATTGGCACAACGTGCTGGAAGACCAGCAAGCACAACAAAAAAAATTAGTTCTATTGTTACAAAGAAGCAAAGCGTTTTAAATGGAGTGAGGGACTGTCTCTAGAAAGTGGACTTGTGACTTCTTGAGATTCGTTACAAAGGGAAGTATTAATGGATTAAAGGACTTGTAAAAGTTTTACAAAGTTTTTTTACAAAATCCTTTATTAAAAGTTTGAGAGTGGCGACAAGAAGTAATAAAAACAGTTATGTGGAAGAATGAAAATCCTGGAAGTTGTGTTGTCTGGCATGTACTAACAGCAGTGTTTCCTCTGTCCAGCTCTCTACAACTACGACGCGAGGGGGCTGGATGAACTTTCAAAAAAAAACAAATAGGCGACACCGTGCACATATTAGAAACGTATGAAGGTAAGTTGGCAAAAGCTGCTTGTCAAAATGTTGCTTTTGCAATTGCATTACTCCTCTGTTTGTGACCTTCTCGTGTTATCAGGTGATGAATTACTGACTTTCTTGCTGGAGGATAAACCACATGATTTCTAATGAGCACAGAATTAACCAGTGCTAGATGTGAAGATGCATGTGGTGGATATCTGGTGAATAACCGTTTCCTTTTCTATGGAAGATGGACGTTCACACAGCTGTGTTTGTATGGATCAATTGTAGCATCTACCCAGCGTTGGAGAAATGATAGATGCTTTTTGAATACCCTCGGGTAATGCAAAAGGAACCTGCTGCTAAAAGAAGTTTAATCTGAATTTGAAAGTCACCTGCGTCCTAAATTATTTATATGTCTCATATAAGAGAGGGATACATGTGTTACAGTGCCGTGGACTGATTTCAGGCTTTTCAGATGCTTTACTTGTTTTGATACGACACTGTAGAAACATTCCATGTACCAAAATCTTTCCTCCTTGATCCATGTGAAAGGGGATTTGAATACTGAGTGTGATAATCAACAGAATGTGAAAAGTCATAACGCTTTTCATAACTCTTGCTTGATCCAATACTGAGCCAGGCAAAATACAGCTCTTTCATTATATCCTTGACATGAAATTTTATAGCATGCTGCAGTTTGGAAAGGTATAAGTAACATATAACTAAACTGTGTTAATTTAAAATATTGTAACACTTTTTGTCTTGTGGAAATGTGATTTACTTTAATATATTGATTTAATTTGTTTGTTTCTCTAGACAGTGATCTTTTGGTACATTTGTGTAATAAATTTGTTTTAGATATTGGCTTAATACAATTTTTTTATTGTTGCTTTTACTGAAACAAGCAATGCTGTCTCAACAAAAGTAACAAGCTCTACTCATCACTGTGCAAATGAATTTTCTCATTGTTCCTAGGCTGACGTTTTCTTGCAGAGTTCGGCTTGCTGCTGCAATGCCAAGTTTTACTCTAAGCCAAGTGATCTTTCTGTTATCTGCTGTTATATGCTTTAATAAAAATCTAATAATGCAAAAATTTAAAATGCAAATCGAATGGTTTAAATGTTGCACAGCTTGGTACTTTTATATATAAACAGATTTATCTAATGAATGTGGGAGAAACTCTGAATGCTGAATAGAGTATGTGAACCCGTATCAAATGATGACTGCTGCCAACTAAGTGGGACAGTGGAGATGAGTCATTTTTCCCCCAGACTTAAATAATGAAGACCTCCACGCTCACATGGTTGTTAGGCTTCAAGCACATGGGATGAGTTCATGTTAAAAGAAATGCAAATAGGTTAATGTTCTTCCAAACACTTCATGCAGTGATTACTCCTTATGTACCTACTGTGATGGGAAATTAGATGCCGTAATTCTTATCTCTCTTGTTCACAGAGCTGCCATTATTAGGTAATTATTTGAGCTTTTTGATCTCCAAGTTCCTCTATGCAAAACGTGTAGATTGTGCCCCAGGAGGTTTCATACCGTATGCACTAACATCCAGGTGTGCGCCTGGGAACTTCCCTGCCATCCGTCCTGTCCGTGTCAGGGCAGTGGTGGGATGGGCCAGTCTGAAGAAAACCCCCCCTAATAATATGAGCATGGGACAGAAGAGTCTTTTGAGGAGTCAGTAAATGCCTTTTTGGTTGGGGATCTGTGATTCTGCTTCTCACAACTCTACCCCTTTTCCCTGTGTTTAAGATTGTGGGGAAAAAATTGGCTTCTCTCATTGATACCTGCTGTATTATGCATTCTGCTCCTGGCATCCTACTGTAGAATTGTTACTATTTTGAAATAGTTTTCTGCAATAATTAAGTTAAGAGTAGTTTTGAAGGCTTATATGAGTCCATGGGCTTTGAAATGGCAGATTGTGGTTGTCTTTTTTTTTTTTCTCTCTGAATCTGCTTTGTTGTCAAGGAAAGCTTATGGTAAATCCTTGCTCAGTTGGTCTTCTCTATGCAGAAGAAAGAGGCTGAGAAGTTGGAGGGCTTGGTCTCATATGCATAGTCTAGAAGACCTGTTTTAAGGACAGGCAGGTTTCTATAGGATATCATGTTGCTACCGTGTGTTGGAATGGATTGCTAAGATGGGCTTCACTTATGTGTTTAAAATATTACTTATTTTTTTAATCTATATGTAGAACTTATTTTTGAATTTGTTTTGATTATCAAAACACTTTAATCTTTTTAATCAAAGAAAACTTTTTTCCCTCTGAAAGTTGTACAACTAATGCAATGTGCACATGCTGTAAAGTTCCAGGTTTGTTGAAAATAGCCTGTATTTTTGTAGGAGTTCTGAGATTGGAAATGAACGTGCACATTTCACTGTTAGTTTCTGTTCTTTCAGGAACCAAAGCAAAGATGAAGCTACTTTCTAGAGTAATTGATATTTAAAATTAAGTTAATATTTTTCTTTCAGTTAGGATTTCAGACAGTTTTATTTTTCAGTTAAAAAACTTCCTCTGACTTCATCCAATGTGAGCCTTACAGGATAAAGCCAACCAGCAAAGCCATATGATTTCATAAATATCCTCTATCTCACAGGAGAGAAATATTGCATTTCGTAGCAGATATCCCAAAAAAGTATTTGCCACATTCCGAATTAGTACTTGCCAGATCTTTGTTGTCTTAATTCCATTTCTTTACATTATTTGGTGGGATGGGCAAACAGAACGTACGATCAATAAATGTGGCTTATTAAGGTGAATAGCTGTTAAATTTAACAGTAAATAAGCCTCAAAAACAAGCTTGTGTGTTTGAACAGTTCTAGTGCTGCTGTGGGAAAGGGAGTTTGGATTCCCAAGTAAGTATTTTCAAGTAAGTTATTCCTGATACTGTGGGAACCTTTAGTTATTGGTTGCAGGTGTGTTTGGGTGGTTTTGTTGTTGTGTTTTTTTTTGTTTTGTTTTCTTTTTAAATACAGCAAATACCTTATGTGGGTAACTGTGTAGTAAATAGATGCATCACTGAAGAAAACCAGCAAATTTTTGAATGTCTTTTGCAGCTTTAACAGACACAAATATTTCACTGGTCCCTTTTCTTAGTTGGGTGTTTATGTGGATGCAGGTTTCCAGCCATTGTATCCCATGTTATTTCTTAAGGATGAGGCTAGAAAACCTGTAGCAAATCAATAAGCTTGCTGTAGAAAACTTTATGTTAGCATCTTTTCTTCTCGCTGGTGTTTTGTCCAAAACCAAATTGGCCATGAAGAGGGCGAGGAGGATCTGGAGCTGTCGGTGTGTGCTCCAGGGAAGCGATTGACAGCAGATATTTGCCCTCTCTGCCCACAGGCTTTGGGTCTTTCATTTATTTTTTATATTTTTTCCTGTCATCTCCAAAACTGCTGAGGTTACAAAATCAAGAACTCAGGTTAGGCAGAGCCACAACGTAGGGTGATAGATATGAAGGTGACATATCTAACGCAGTGGTAGGGGGGTAAGGGGTAGAGGGATGTGTGAACTTACTTTTTGAGTGTGGAGGAGTAGATATCGCTTGCCTAAAGCAGCAGCCATACTATACTTGTTTTTTACCTTGTCCAATGTCTGACAATAACCTGTATTTATTGTGTATTGAAGAAAAATCACAGTTTTGTGATCTTAATTTAATTCGTGTTTGTGAGGGAGTTGGTTGTTTTTGTAGTCCCTGTCTGTACGTGGAGGATAACTGCTCTCATCTTACAGATAGGGAAGTAAGAAACTGAATAGTTCTTATGTTTTGGGTGGTTGGTTAGAGATGACTCCATGAATTTAAATGACATCACCCTTACACACATGTGTTCACGGCAAGACTCGGTGCCTCCAGTTGCATCAGTGAGAGTTAGTGCTCTCTGAAAATTGGGCTCCCTGCTGCATGGTTACAGGCCAGGTACCCAACAAAAAACTTCATTTAGGTGGTGGCTGCCAGTGAAGGGCCTGGTTGGACTTGCCTGGCTGCATAGGACTTCTGCAATAAGCAGGAGTGCAGCCAGTTCTCCAAGGCAGGTTTTGGCTGTTTCCTTATTCTGCAATCTCTTGTAGCTCTTACTGTTTGCTGCAAAGCTTCAGAAAGGAGAGGGTCAGTGGTGAGGAGCTTGATTTGCTACCTGGCTTTTTAATCTGCAGCTGCAGTGGGATGTCCTGAGTCAGACAGCACAGCAGATGGGATGGGAGAAGTGAGGTGGCAGAGATAATACAGTTGTATGTTCTTTATTTTGTACAGTGCGTTTGATCAGTTATGGTGCTTATCGGTTTAGACTCCAGAAGTTCAAGATGTTGGTTTACTCATATAAAACTGAGGAAATTTAGTTCTTTAACAGGATTGACATCTGGGTGTGTCTATGCACCGATTTCAGCTGGTGGAGTAAGCACTAGCAGAAATGCCACCTTTGCACCTGAGCCAGAAACTGTGTGTGGTCATTTCAGCAACAGTTTTTGCTGATATTCCTCTGAAATTAATGAAAATGGGAGATGTGAGGCCATTGCAGCCTCTATAGGGAAGGGAACTGTGGTGGTTGTAGATGCCAGATTGAAGAACCATCCCCAGTGATTGTGGAGGACAGGCTTCTGGTGCACGCTGAAGGTGATGAATCTTTTTAGCCTTGCTGCTGGAGAGCAGACTGAAAAAAATCCTGTGTGCTTACAACTTTTAATTTGTATTTCTAGTCCCAGAGCGTAGATAATGAATTTATCAGCGTTCGTTGACTTCCTTGAACTTTCTTCTTGCCCTAGTTGTTATCAGGAGTGGGACTGTGTGAGTTTTTTTTCCCACGTCTGCTTTGTGACCTCCCCATCCATCCCTCACCCACGCTGGTCTCTGGAGAGGGGTGCTTTGCTGTACAAACACCCTGTTTGCAGAGGTAGAGGGAGTGGTATTGCTCAGGTTTTCAAAAGCTGTGGAAGGCAGCTCTGGTCACCTGGGGGGTTCCCTGGGGTGCTGAGCAGGACAGAGTGAGTGAGCCATGGCCAGGACAAACTTGAATACAAAATAGCCCCAGTACAAGCATACAAGCGAGCTAGCACTGAACTGGGGGCAATATACACAGGAGATCTCATCTGCTTCCCCTGGCACTGCATCTTCCATGAGGCAGAACAACTGTAGGGTTTTATTTTTGCTTTGGTTATCCAGTGGCTGTGAAGTGGGATGGCTGGAGAAACATGAAAAGCTGTAATGGTTATAGCTTGCAGATGTGTCCTGAACTGGGGGCACAAGAAATGAGAGGGTTTTCCAGGCACGGCCACCTGCCTGGGAGTATGGCACAGGCTGAATTACCATGCGTCAGGGCTGCTGCGGGGTGGGTGTTGGACACCTCGTGCTGAACTGGGTCGTCTTGCTTTTATATGGTGATGTGTGAATCGTAAATCCCCAAATATCCTTGTTTTCTGCTGAGATAACAAACAGCTGATGTGCTTCGGAGAGCTCGCATTTGTGGAACTTCAATAGGTTTTCAAGTCAAACTAGTCAAACAGTACATCTTCATCAAGTTAGTGCTCTTAAGTTGGTTTTATGCTCAGTTCCTAATTGAAATGAAACGAATGACAGTTGAACGCATCGTGCACAATGCCATCTTTGTCGTGGAGTCTTCTCCATCAGTTTGATCGTGGTCACTCTGATTTTTATAGTTTCCAAGAAGGCTTGTTTTAGCCAAGGTATTAATTCTGTAGAGAATTTAAATTCAGGTGGAGTGTGCATGTACATGTTGGTGGGGATGAAGTGTGATCGGAAACTGTGTTAAGGTGCTGTTGAGCTGAGCTGTTGGGTGACATCAATGAACTTTTTAATGCTTTTTCCTTTTTTCCCTCCTAGGTTGGTACAGAGGTTATACTCTACGAAAAAAATCCAAGAAGGTAAGTGTTGCCAGAGCGGAGTCCTCATTTTTCTCTTGGACAGAGATGTATTATGGCATTGGGTGTGTTGTTACAACGGAGATCTCGGTGTGTGTTATGGTTCTGCGTGGGAGCGGATCACCGTGCGTCCGCTGTGCTCTAATCACTGCTGGTGTGTAGCCTCAACCTGGAGTAAACGTAAATTTTTCAAGTGAACTGAAACTTATTTTAGCCAGGCCTAAAAGCTGAGTTGCAATTTAATTTTTTGCAATTTGAAGGCGTATGTATACGCAGTCACTACAGATGGGTTGACGTGCGTCAGCTTGTTTTCGGCAGTCAGTGGTGTACCAGAGCCTCAGTGAAAAGTTCAGAATTGTAGAATAGTTTGGGTTGGAAGGGACCTCAAAGATCATCTAGTTTCAACCCCCCTGCCATGGGCAGGGACACCCTCCACTACACCAGGTTGCCCAAAGCCTCATCCAACCTGGCCTTGAACACTTTGAGGGATGGGGCAGCCACAGCTTCTCTGGGCAACCTGTGCCAGTGCCTCACCACCCTCAATGTAAAGAATTTCTTTCTTATATCTAACCTAAATCTGCCCTCTTTCAGTTTAAAGTCATTGCCCCTTGTCCTACCACTACATGCCCTTGTCCAAAGTCCCTCTCCAGCTTTCCAGGAGGCCCACAGAACTTTATGTTCTGGTTGACCTGTTCAGAGGCTGGCACTTTGCTTCACTGTTTGTTAAATAACGTGTTGCTCATAAAACACAATTTCATCTTGCAAAGTGATAGGAAGATGTACGTTGTGATTTTCAGTCGTTCTCTGGGAGAGGGGGGTAATTTTGCCTCGTCGTTAGGCTTTGGGTGTGCAGAAAGGGCTGCTGTTTATAGCAGCGTTTCTGAAATAAAAAGGGAACAGCACAAATACAGCTTCTAACAGTGTGTTTTAAGTTTTTTAGCATTTTGCTTTATAGTAGTAATTAACCAGAATTAAATGACTTCTGGTTTTGTTTCTTTTTTCACTTAAACACTAAAAATGCAACGTTTGCCTACAGAGGTGCATTTTGAGTTGTGTCTGCGTGTCTGAAAGCACAGAGCTGTGTGGTTTGTCCCACCCATTTCCTAACCAGCCTTGTTCTATGTTTTTTCTATTCTATTTTGATATTTTCTGTTTTTGGAAATGCACAACGTTTCTTACGAACTATATTTTACAAACATGCCTTGTACAGCTTAAGAAGCAATTATGCATTCTTCTTGACTTAAATGAATTCCATGTGTTGCCACATTTGTCTGGCTGCTGCTAAATGATTAATTTTTATTTTTCTTTTTTTTTACTGGAACCAGAAGACACATTCTCTCTAGTTTCTGTAGCTTTCCAATAATTCTTTTTTTTTTTGCATTCCTGGATGATAAAACTGAACTACTACTACTACCTCAAAGGATGAAGTGACTTGAATTCTTTTTTAATATGAGCTTACACTGTTTTGAAATTATTTCTGTATTTTTGGAATCTCGAAATGATTTTAGAACATTTTTTCAGAAAAGCAGTACTGACCTTTCGTAGTACTGTCTGTTGAAGAGGTTTTTGCCTTTTAGCACTAATGACAGGTTGGTGGTAGAAGACACTATATTATATATAGATTCACAGAATGGTTTGAGTTGGAAGGAACCTCAAAGATCATCCAATTCCAACCCCCCTGCCATGGGCAGGGACACGTGGCACTACACCAGGTTGCTCAAAGCCTCATCCAACCTGGTCTTGAACACTTCCAGGGATGAGGCAGCCACAGCTTCTCTGGGCAACCTGTTCCAGTGCCTCAGCACCCTCAGAGGGAAGAATTTCTTCCTTAGATCTCATCTGAATCTGTCTTCAGTTTAAAGCCATTGTTCCTTGTCCTGTCACTACACACCCTTGTAAAAAGCCCCTCTCCAGCTTTCCTGTAGGCCCCCTTTAGGTACTGGAAGGCTGCAATAAGATCTCCCCGGAGCCTTCTCTTCTCCAGGCTGAACAGCCCCAACTCTCTCAACCTGTCTCCAGAGCAGAGGTGCTCCAGCCCTCGGATCATCTTTGCGGCCTCCTCTGGACCCACTCCAGCAGCTCCATGTCCTTCTTATGTTGGGGACCCCAGAGCTGAACGCAGCACTGCAGGGGGGTCTCAGGAGAGCAGAGCAGAGGAGCAGAATCCCCTCCCTCACCCTGCTGCCCACGCTGCTCTGGATGCAGCCCAGGACACGGTTGGCTTTCTGGGCTGCCAGCGCATGGTGCTGGCTCATGTTGAGCTTCTCATCCACCAGCACCCCAAGTCCTTTTCCTTAGGGCTGCTCTCAATCCGTTCCGTAGTGTGGCTTGCAGTGCAGGATGTGTGTGTTCCGTGTGTGCATGTGCCTGTTTATTCCGAGGGCTGGAGCACCTCTGCTATGGAGACAGGCTGAGAGAGTTGGGGCTGTTCAGCCTGGAGAAGAGAAGGCTCCGGGGGGATCTTATTGCAGCCTTCCAGTACCTGAAGGGGGCCTACAGGAAAGCTGAGAGGGACTTTTTACAAGGGCGTGTAGTGATAGGACAAGGGGAAACGGCTTTAAATTGAAAGAGGGGAGATTTAGATTAGATCTAAGGAAGAAATTCTTCCCTCTGAGGGTGGTGAGGCACTGGCACAGGTTGCCCAGAGAAGCTGTGGCTGGCCCCTCCCCGGAAGGGGTT